CGGATACCTCAACTGCGGCTGCACCTACGAGGAAGCACTCTTTGAAGAGAGCCTTTCACGACACGGCGTGGGGAGCTACCTCCCTGGGGACACTGTGCGCATGGACCCTTCCCTCCGGAATCCACTCTTGAAGCTGCTGGAGAGGAGATTCGGCTACAAGGACGGCGACTTCGAGCGGGATCCGCATACCGGGGACTGGCTGCCCGGTGAAGGCCCTGCTGTCTGGGAGGCACAGATACAGCATGACGCCGGGGGGCCCAGTCGTCGGGCGCGACCCGCCCACCGTGATTGGATCCCTGGTGCGAGCCCTACTCTCTGGGATGCGCAGATCCAGGCGGAGGCGCTGATAAAGAAAGAGGAGGCCAATGACTCCATGGAATTTTAGACTGGTCTTCTGGCCGGTTTTCTGTTTGACTTGAAATCTCCAATATGCCATTACTAGGAAGTCTCGTTTTCCCTCTTCTCAGTCTCGGAATGAAATCTTAGTTTTATGGATCTGGCTGTTAAGAAGTTCTGTCGTCTGTTTATCTGTTGACTCTAGTTGAGGCACAATTGACTCGCAGATAGAGGGAGAGGAATGTATGCCCGCGGTGTTCCTAAAACAAGTGAAGGGAGGCAGGCTGGACACGTCCAGCTCGAGCAGCAGAGCAAAAGAAAAGAAAAGAAAAGAAGAGGGAGTGGTACAGAATATTCGGACGCGGGGAGTCGAACCCCGGACTGCAAGACTTACGGTGGCGGATCTCTTACAAACGCTCGCTGTGTTCCGTACACCACGTCCGATTATTGCTGTTTGCATAAATGTTGGCCAAACTGCCTTTTTGAGAAAACTATATGTTTTGCGCGTAAATCTTGTATCGGCCGTAGCTCACTCAATTCCCGGCATATCTACATGAAATAAAGTGTTTTTGGGCACTACTCATCCGTCCGCAGGTGCCCAGCACAAAATTAGAGCATTCCGTCAAGAAACAAAGGAAATCACAAAAAAAGCATAGGTTGCAGCAAAAGCAATATAACTCCGCAACGAGGTCAGATAATGACCAGCGGAAACTACTCATGGGTCCCGCTGGATCCTATGTGGGACTCCACAGAGAGATTTTAATAAAAAATACACATTAGGGTCGTCGTCGTCGCCATTCGCGTCTATCACCATGTGACAGACCGTGTTCGTCACTCTCTCCACATCCACCGCATTCTACCTGCCTCAAACCATGCCTAAAGGTGTCACAGTCGCTGAATCGATGTGCTGGACCGTCGTGCGCATGCTAGTATGCCGCAAATCCCCTCAGGAAATCCATGCCTTCACGGATGTCAGTCCTCGACAGCAACGCCGAATCTTCAAGCTCTGGCGCGAAACTTCTGAAGTCAAACGTCGGAAAGATGGCCCAGAATTGCAGGGACGACCTCGGAAACTCACCTCGCAAGATGTCGCTGTGCTTACCGCTTTCTCTGGTCCATTACTCTCAGATTACTCAAATCTATCAGTTTCTGCAAGGATCGGTCGATGAGACCTGTGACACCTACCTGGAAGAGCTTCAGGAGTCTCTAGGGTTTGTATGTGGTGCAGAAGCATCCCAGGCAACTATATGGCGGACGCTCCAGCGCAAGGGCTACCGCATGAAGAAGGTAGGATGACTTCATTAGCATTGGCTCCCTCTGACCATTTATGGGCCAGATCACACGGAAAGCCATCGAACGCAGTGTTCGGAAGAGGGCTGCATATACTGCCAAGATTGGGTGCCGATACAGCTCTGAGCAGCTTGTCTTTGTCGACGAGAGTGCGGCAGATCGGCGGACAACCTACAGAGGTTATGCTTGGGCTTTTGGTGGTAACCGAGCCGTCCGCAAGGCATTTTTTGTTCGAGGCCGAAGGTAAAAAGTTCCACATGTGTGTTGACGTTTTGCTCACCGCTTACAGGTACTCCATTCTCCCCGCGCTGTCGCTTGATGGCATTATTTCGGTGGACATCGTAGAAGGATCATTCAATAAAGTCCGCTTCGCGCGCTTCATTGATGGTCTTCTCGACCAGATGAACCCCTTCCCGGGACCGAATTCAGTCATCGTGATGGATAACTGTCGCATTCACAAGTGCCCCGAAGTTTTGGACATGATCCTTGAGCGGTAGGCTCGCAATCTCACCGATTTCTATAATTAGATACTGATTTGTCGTAGGGGGATGCGGTACGAGTTCCTTCCGCCATACTCTCCAGATTACAACCCAATCGAGCTCGCCTTTTCCGCCATCAAAGCCCACATACGTCGGAATGGTGGTATTATTCGGGCCGCTATGTCTGATGCTGATGATGAAGATGTATACATCCAACTTATACAAGCCGTATATACAGTCAGCGCCGAGGACGCTGCTGGCTGGTTTCGTCATGCAGGCTACTAAATAGTATTGATTGAAGTAAATTAACTAGAAGAGGGACAATTTGAGAATGTAATTGTATAGTAAATTGATTTAGGTGTAGCGGGAGCCATTCTGAGCCTCCATACGCAAACGCTTCCTCTCCCGCTTCCGGATCAAACCTATGTCTGTGGTTGCGTACGCCAGCATTTTGGCAGCCGTCCCATGTGCCATCTCCGGAATAAGAGTCTTCAAATCATTGATTTTGAGGCTTTCGAGATCGACGATGCGGATGTACTTCTCGCGATCAAAGTCCGGAGCGTACTGAGAGAAATTATGGCCATCAGCACCCCGCGGTCCTTCGTCAAGCTCGGGAAGCCAGTTTCCAATGCGTGGAAAGAGCCGGCTGTCCTCTGCCATCTCGGGGGGGTCAGAGCTCGGCATATCGTCATAACGGCCGTGTCGGTTCATCGTTGACGGTTGTGGTGGTGTCTGGAACGGAGGCCACTGCCACGGGAATGGAGGATAACCGAATGGAGGCATGCCATGCATGGCATTAATGGGACCAGAGGCAGCCAGGGAAGCAGGGACAGCTGGAGGCGCGGCTTTGGCACTGGCAGCCGGCTTGTTACCTCCCACTTGAAGTTTCGGAGGTGGTGTTGTCGTCGATGGATAGCCGTTAGTCTAAATTGATTATCAATCGGTGCTGTCGACAAGGAAGAAATTGTGAATGTTACCATGAAGATTGCCCATGTCCCGAGGTCCTGCTTTGATAACTGGACATGACCTGTAACAAACTTTATGCAGCCATGTCCTCTGTGTTCGGTGCAGGCATTGGCCGCTTCAAGCTCTGCCACCCACTGTGGCAAGCTCTTCTTCTTCTTCTTCTTGCCGTCCGCATCGACAGATCCTGCAGAATCCTCGGAGTCCGAATCCCCAGCGCGCTTCTGCACATCAATGAGTCACAAGGTTGCGGTGTGAAGAAGAAAGCCTACCCGCTTCTTTTCCTTCACCGCTTTCTTAGATGCCGCTTTCCCTTTCCTGTTCGCAGCCTCGAGATCTTTGAGCTCAACAATGAACACCTTTTTAGAACGGGTTGTGGCAATTGTGTCCCGAGCAGACTTGACAAGCTCCATCAGATGAATACCGGTCGACAGATGGGAGTAGCTGTCTGAACGGAGCTGGGTGCTGAAGCGATACGCGACACGCACAGACTTCGGAGGTACCGACATGATGTCTGCAAGCTTGCTGACAAGGTCTTTATGCAGGATATCTGACATGACCGAGATCTTCTCCTCTGCACCCTCGAACGGAACAGAAAACTTGAGCTCAAAAGGCAGCTCCTCATCTGGGTGTTCTCGCGTCAGACAGTGCGGCTTGATTCATGACTGACTCACCATCAGATTCATCGCTCAGAGACTCCTCGTCGTCGTCGTCCTCATCCTCAAGACCGTCCTCTTGATTTGCCTCTTCGAGCTCATCTTTATCTTCCTCCAGCTCGTCATCTTCTTCAATCTCAAAGCCATCGGAGAAAATTGTCTCCTGACGTGCTGTACCTTTCTCAATCAAGAAGGCCTCCGTCTCAGAATGTTCCTCGTCCTCGGACATGGATGGTACAGGCCCAGGGGCTGCTACAAGCTTCTTCGCAGCATAGTACGCGTGCAAAGCAGTGCGGCGTTCCTTTTCAGAGAGCGGGGGAGGTGGGGTAATCTGGGGTGAAGGGTTCCTTAGCTCTGGACTGGCTGCTGGTGGAGTTGGTTCTAGAGGCTCAGGACTGGCCGCTTTGTCCTGGGGAGTCTTGGGCCCGATAATCCGCAATTTGACAGTGGGCCGGGGCTCCTTTGGCTCTTTAGTCTTCTTTTCCTTCGCCACCCGGGGCTCCTTCAGCTCCTTGGTCTTCCTTTCCTTTGCCTGGCGAGACTTCTTTGTTTTTTGCTGGTTTTTGTTGGCCGGCATGGTGATCGTATGAGGGTGAGTCACGATACGCGTCCAGTCACTGGTGTGACTGGACTTGGACGGCGACGGCAGGGGCACCCTTTCACCATGGGCCCAAAAACTCGCTGTACATATGCTCCCCAGATGTTGTAGAAGATCTCTAAACTTTCCTTGTGTCGATATCTGCCTGCATTCTTGAGTTATACAAGCAATTGTCCGAACTATGCTTTTTTTGGCAGGAATCTTATCTGTTGCTCGGATCCCTCTAATTTTGTGCTGGGCACCTGCGGACGGATGAGTAGTGCTCGAAAACACTTTATTTCATGTAGATATGCCGGGAATTGAGTGAGCTACGGCCGATACAAGATTTACGCGCAAAACATATAGTTTTCTCAAAAAGGCAGTTTGGCCAACATTTATGCAAACAGCAATAATTCGCTTGCTTGTAACCTGCTGAAGGGAGGAAGAAAATAGCTGGCCAGTCTAGCTTGCCTACCATGACAAAAAGAAATCGCAACACAGAATATTCGGACGCGGGGAGTCGAACCCCGGACTGCAAGACTCCCAAGGCGACATTGCGGTAAGAATACTCGCGGTGTTCCCTACACCACGTCCGATTAATTCACTTTGTTGTAACCCGGTGAAGTGGGAGAAAATTCACTTAACGGCTTGCCTTCGGTACCATCGCAAAAAAAAAAGACATTCATGATGCACTGGAAGTTCGGACGCGGGGAGTCGAACCCCGGACTGCAAGACTCCCAAGTGCGACATTGCGGTAAGAATACTCGCGATGTTCCCTACACCACGTCCGATTATTTGAGCTGTTTAGGCCTTGACGAAATGACGATCGGCCAGTAGGTTGAGTATCAAACCTACGGGAAAAAGAGATAATCTTCTTTTTGGTATATTCGGGCGCGGGGAGTCGAACCCCGGACTGCGAGTTACTCCAGGTTGCTGTCGTAAGAATGCTCGCAGTGTTCCATACACCACGCCCGATTAATTCGCCCTTTTGTAACCCGGTGAAGTGAGGCAGAAAAAAACCTGATCGGCTTGACTTCGGTAACAACAACAAAAAAACGGGGTCAACGCCTGAAGTTCGGACGCGGGGAGTCGAACCCCGGACTGCGAGTTACCCCAGGTTGCTGTCGTAAGAATGCTCGCAGTGTTCCATACACCACGCCCGATTAATTTACCTGGTTGTAACCTGGTGAAATGAGGAAGAAAATATCTGCCCAGCTTGCCTTCGGTACAACAACAACAACAAAACGGGGTCAACGCCTGAAGCTCGGACGCGGGGAGTCGAACCCCGGACTGCGAGCGACTTACATCAGCGAAAGCACTTCAAGGATCCTCGCGGTGTTCCGTACACCACGCCCGATTAATCCACCTCTTCATAACCTGGTGAAGGGAGGAAGAAAATAGCTGGCGAGTCTAGCTTGAGCCAGAGCAAAAAAAAAGACTATCGCATATTCGGACGCGGGCGGTTGAACCCCGGACTGCGATACTGGAATATTCTCCCGATTTGACGAAAGAATGCTCGCCGTGTTCCATACACCACGCCCGATTAATTCGACTATCCGCGCCTTCATTAAACCAGGATTCAGATGAACATGAATCCCAACTGCTAGTGATGCCTTGTTTTTAAACCGGAAGCCAACCATCACACGGAAACCGTCGAGAAGACGATACTTACGGAATCCCGCAGAGGATCGAGTCCCCGCTATCAGGTATCAGATCGCTAGGCAGATCGTGGCAACTTATAACGAGAGCGAAGATCGTGGCAACCTTCAGAATCTTTTAAAAGAAGACTGATAGGACGGGAGCGGCGGAACGCCGGTGGGCGCTAGATTCCGACAGATGTAACAGCAACAGAGTAAGAATAACACCGGGCTGTTACAGGAGAGGGGCTGTTTCGTGCTGTTTCGTGTTACAGCAGGGTTATAGGAGGTTTAGAATCCCTCCGGCGTCTGAACTTGCCCGAAAGAGTTCATTTCCGACCTGCTCGACGGTTGAACGCATCCGCATCAGGCAACTCGGGCCCAGCCGGGACGGGCATTCTTGCCCAACGCAGCCGGGGCAGCCCGCACGGTGCCTGGTTTGTCTTCGTCTGTTACGCAGCCTCGATGGCGACGGCATCATGATTTCGCCGGCCTTTGCGATGACGGCAGCAATACAGCAGACAATACACCTTCCGTCGTCGGCTAGCGTGGCCACTCCGTTGGGCTTTGTTCGGCTTTCTTGGACTGGGACCACGACTACGACTCGATTGGGCTTGCGCGGCGACGACTACACGACACGCTATACTAGACTGGGCTGAGCTGACCGCACTATTCGCTCCTGCTCCACCGACTACGAACGACAAACGAACGAACGAACGAACGAACGCATGGGCTCGGAGAAATCTGTGAAGGAAAAGGACTCGAAGGAGGGAAAAGAGAGAGAGCGGGAGCGGGGCAGGGACAAGGAGCGGGAGCGGGAGTCGTCGCGGAAGGGCAAGGGGAAGGAGACATCGGCGTCATCAGCAGCGGCCGCGTACGGACCCGAGTTCCTGCGCGCGTTCGCAAAGCCCGCGTCGCTCCTCAGTGGCAAGGGCAGGCGCACGGACGACGACGAGGCATCGTTCGACGTGATCAGCGGCGCGGATGCGCGGCGGTTCGCGCGGCGGTTCGTTAGGTGCGTCTACGTCGTGCCACCCGGTGTTTATGCAACTGACCGGGATGTAGAGAACAAGAGGCGGCGGTGGCGGAAACAGACAAAGACATGGGGAAGGGTAAGGACAAGGCCGATGCCGACAAGGACACGGACAAGCAAAGGCCCGACGAGAAGACGGAGCGCGAGCACGATCTGTACTCAAACCCCAAGGCGAACGCGCGCACGCTGCCGCCGGTGGTGTTCGCCTTCCCGCGCAGCGCGGCGGGCGACGCGGGCCGCAAGGTCGTCGACTTTTACATGTCCTGGCGAGGAAAGACGGTATGTCTTGTGTTCTTCGTTCCTGCTACTTTATACTTGCGGCATTTATGCGGGATTTTTTTATCACGATTTTTATTCCATTTTCATTTTCCTCTGCTTTTTATTCTCCCTCCCGTCCACTCGCTTTCCCCCCGTTCGCGGCGTCGCGTCCGCCCCCCATCCATCGGTTGTGTCGCCGCCGAGGCAATCTTTGGGGGTGGGGATGCTCGTGTGCCCTTCTCCTCGAGGCCGCGTACCCTCCATCCGTAACCGATGTCCACTGGCGTCGTGCTCCCCGCGGGTGCATCCACCTTTCCCACCTCCCTCACCGCTCCCCCCTCTCACCCCCACCACGTTGTCTCTTTCCGTCTCTTTTTATCCTCTTCATCCTCTTCTCCCCTTCCTTTCCCTCCTGCTCCTTCTTCGCACCGTTTTCTCCTTGTACGCACCGAACGAATACTGACGCGCGCCCACAGAAAGCGACGCGCCTCAAGGGCCTCACGCGCCGCGCAGGCTTCCTCGACGCCGAGTTCCGCCGCGTGCGCGAGACGCTCGACGGGGAGTGGAAGCGCGCGAGGTGCGTTCTTCTTTTCTTCCGGCCCTCCCCACACTCGCATCCTCCACTCTCTCCCTCTGTCCACGTCCACGTCCCTACGTTCCCCTTCCCCTTCCCCTTCCTCTTATCTTCGCTTCCTCTTCTTTCTCACATGCACCGCTGACGCTGACCACCACTCTCGTTCCCACAGCCGCGCGCTCAAGGGCTCCGCGTCCGCCTCAGCATTACACGACGAGGGGGCTAAGCTGAGTGCGTTTTTCTTTCTCTCGGTTTTTATCGTTTTCTTTCAGTGGGGGGGGGAGCATGGGAGAGCGTGGGGGTATGCGCAATAGACGGGGGTGTGCCCGGGTACCAACGCGTCGATGTGAGCGTGGTGATGCTCGGGTTGCTGTATGCGCGTACATGCGGTGGTGGTCCCGCGTAGACGGCGGGCACGACGTGTGGTGGTGTATGCACGCCGGTGTGGTGGTGGACTGCGACGTGTGTGCGTGCGTACGGGCATCGCTGGTGGACGTGTGATGTGGGCGGCATGGTCGATGGATGCGCGTACGGGCGTAGTGGGCTGGACGAACTCGGCGCGTCGACGTGGCCGTGGTGTGGGCGGCGCGGTGCGTGTGCGCGCGTACTGTGTCGCTGCGTGTGCGCGAGCCGTGGACCACGTCGAGCTACTCGCCAGTGGTGCAGCGCGTGTGTGGAGACGAGGCCCCTCGGGTCGGGATCCATGCGTCGATGGAGTTGCATCGTGCGGAGCATCTCGTCGATGTATGCGTGTCCGTGCGGCGGTGCATCTCAGGGGCGCCGACACGTCATGGCCAGGACGGCGGCGTGGTCGGTAGTGCGGTGCAGACGTGGGGAGCGCGTGGTCATGATGTCGGTGCGCGGCGGACGAGTCGCGCTGGAGGTAGATGTCTGCAGCGACGGGCATCGCTGGTGGACGCGCTGGTGCGAACGCCATCACGCAGATGAGCCGCGCTGGAAGTGGATGTCTGCGCGCGGGCGCGCGGGTCGAGGCATCGCTGTTGGGTGGATGTACGCGCCGCGTATGTGCAGTGGGTGTGAACGCGGCGGTGCGCGGCGTGTGATCCAGCGCGCGCGCGCGATACGCGGATGAGCCGGAGGCGCATGTATGCGCGTGTGGTGCGCGGCGGTGGCGTGCGGGTCGACGGGTGGGGGCTGGTGGTGGCTGGTGACGCGCGGCAGCGCTGGGACGGCATCCGACCCTGTAGACGGTGCAGCGGGGATGGGTGCTGATGGGAGCATCCACGCCGCCTTGATGCGTCTTCTGTGGATGTATCCGCCAGGGGCATCATGTCCTGCTCGGCGGGTTGGCGGGATGGGTGGGGCTGCTAGACGTACCGAGGTGTCTCCCGTTTCGTCCTCTTTTTCTTCCCTTCTTCCCTTCATCCTTTCCCTCAACGCCAGCATCACCGCTGACTTACCCCACCGCAGTGCGCGCTCCGACCGACCCGCAGACGCCTCCGCGGCTGCCGCCCCTGCTAGCCGAGTATGCGCGTGAAGAGCGCGAGCGCGAGGGGTGCGTTCTTTGCCTCACTTTCCTGTTCTCTCTCCTTCCCTTCCCCACCTTACCTCTGCGTCGTTCCTCGTTCCTTTGCCCCGTCCGCCCCTCCACTCCCTTGACTAACGCCCTCCCAGCCACGCGCCAGGGCCCCAAACAATGCGCTCCGTCTCGGACCCGCTCCCGCCACCGTCGTCCTTCCCGTTCAACACCGACCGCCCGGCCCTGGGCTCGCACCGCGGGAGCATCGACAGCGTGACGAGCCTGCCGCTGCTGGGCATGGTGCGCGGGGTGCCGGCGGGGAATAGGGGTGCGTCTGTTCTTCGATTCCCACCCTTGTTCTTGTTGCTCGTCGCTCTGGCGCGTCTTGTCTGCGTTGGGAAGGGGTCGTGTGCCGGGGTGTGCGTATGCGGGGTGTGCTGCAGCCATGTAAATGGGTGGCGCGGGGCTCGCGGATGTGGTGGGCCTTGCGAGCGCGAGCGTGGCGCTGTAGCGCACGGGATAGTGCTGTGGTGCAAGAGGTGGCGGGAGGAGAGGTCTAGCGGTGGACGGAGCAGCCTCTGCTCTGCTCGACGGAACGCGCGCGCTCGAGGGTGGGGCTCACTGCCAAGTCGCTCATTCGACCAAGTGGGCGGTCGACGACCGTTGCGTGGCGTCCAAATGGCGAGAGGAAGGGGAGCCAAGACACGCCATCGTCAGTGTCGTCAGTGTAGATTGGGCGGCACGAGGCTGCAGCGTGCCCGCCCCTGCCTAATTTCGCAGTCGCCGTCTGCCATACGTCACAGGCGGAT